GTTCACAATCAAGCAGAGTTCACATTGTTCTTCAAGACGCTGTACAGCTCTTGTCTGAACATCCAAAGTGCCAAAGCTACTCTACAGAGACGTTGGCATGTACTGTTCCGAAGGGACTTCAACATTCATTGGCCACGAGAATCGAAACCCGTGTCAGGGCGTGGTGGATAGGGACCGGCTTTTTTTGCGCAGCAAAAACACTTGCGACTAAGAACATAAGAAGTTATGGGAAAGCGCAGCAGGCTTGCAGCGGCTTGCAGCGGCCACGTCTCCCTCTCTCTCCGCATTCCGCATCCCTCCGGGTCCCTCCGGGTCCCTCCGCTCCGGGCCTCGTCTTGGACATGCTCGGCGCAGTTCAGGCAAGTGAAGTGCCCGCAAACACGGAGACCATGCCTGGCCCGGGCTGCAGAAAGAGGCTGCAGCGCTGCAGCGAGGCATGCGATGCCCTGCATGCGAGTGCCAGGGCCAGGACTCGTTGACATAGACCCTCCGAAAGATCTCTCTGGAAAAGAGTCTTCTGGTGTTCTGCACTGCTTTTGCTTGGGGAGATGTCTGAGCCAAGAACCCTGGATTCGTGTACAGCTCCTCCTCGAAGACTCGAAGACACAAAAAGCTGTGCGAAAAGGGCAGCTGCTGCAGCTGCCATCTGAGGCTGGGGCGAAGCAAATGCTGCCTTGGCCGAGGCCCAGCCAACACTCTGGCAGATTCAAGCAAAACGAAGCCATGCAGACCGCGCGCATTCCGCAGGGTGGTCTGGAGTGCCCCCTTCCAGCTCCAGAAGAGGGGGTCCTGCAGCGCCCAGTGCGGCACGGAGAAAGCGAGGCCTCGCTGATGCTGGCCTTCGGATTGCCCGCCGCTGCGAGCCTTCCACATCACCTGCAGTCTACGGCCGACGCATGGCTTCACGCGCGTTCAAGTGTAGTGCTTATATAAACTCGACACGTCTATCTCATCAACCCATCAGAATCATCAGCATGCGTCTGAGACATGCTTTTAAGAGCAACGCGACTCGAGAAGCGTGGTCGCAGCTCTCGTCGTAGGGCTCGAGACCAGGGGAACAGAGGCGAAGAACTAGAGTAAGTAGAGGCTCTCGTGAAAATCGTCAGACGGCGCCGAAGGTCGCTGAAGTCGGAGAAAATACGTACAGTAAGAGTAGCTTGGGGGATTTTCCTCCACACACGGAGCGGAGCCCGCCTCCAAGGCCTCGCGGACGATCTCCGTGCGGCCGTGGTCCAGGCCTGGGCGTGGGCTTTGCGGGGCCGTTGAAGCGAAGAGGGGCGAAGAGGGCGCTCTCTCTCTCTCTCTCTCTCTCTTTCGAGCTGAGGTGCAGGTGCGGAGTGCCAGGTCCATGTCCCTGGTGTCCTGACCAGAGCGATCCCTGCACGCAGCCCCCGCAGCCTCCCCGAGGCCCCGAGGCCTCGCCCAGATGCGCCAGGCAGGACCTGCGTGCACCAAGCCCGAAGGAAGAGAGGGGAGCAGCAGACGCAGCAGACGCAGACGGCGGCCGACGGCGGAAGCCTCGCGAGGCCCGCGTGGCCCGCGCGCAGGGCGTAGTCCAGGAGGAGCCTCGGCTGCGCCGGCCTCGGACTCGCAGCAGCTCGTGCTCGTGCTCGCCCGACTCGGCCCCCTTTCTCCGCTGACATGTTCCCAGAAGAAAAATCTCTAGAGCCTCGCGTCCCAGAGCGCTTGCTTATATGGCTTATATGGCTTATATGATATTTGGGCACAACTTTCAAGTTGATGCCGCCCTGCCGTGCTCGGCTCCGCACGCTGTCAGGGCGTAGAGTGGCGGAACTCTCTCCTCTCCCTTTCTGACCGGGTCTTCATGGAAGACACCGTCTGACTCTCTCTCTCTCTCTCTCTCTCTCTCTCGCTCTCTTGGTTGCTTGAATCGCGAGGGTAATGCGAGAGAATGTCACGCTAGAAGGCTCTCTCTTCTTCTCCCAGGCTTAAGGGGCGAGCTAAGGGCTTCCGGGCCCGCCCACCTTCGAGATCACGTTGGGGTAAATGACGGCGACTCGAACAAAACAGGCAGGCCATGATCATTGTATAATATCAACATGACAACGGAAACGTGCATCGCTGAACTCCCAAGTGAAGGGGGGAATCTCAGGTTCGCTCGGGATCCGCGAGGCCATGGATTTCTGGAAAGTGCAGGATTTCGAATTCGAACTCGGCTCCCCACGCGGGATCGCCACGATCCAGCAGCGCAGCCAGGACGGTCCTCAGGAAGAGACGAAGACGCTTCGTCTCGGCTTAACGTCAGGTGCCCGGCCACGCGCCGGCCGCGTGGGCCTTGCTGGCAGTCCGCGGACCGGGAACCGGAAGGGACCCACGCGATCGCGTGACACAGCAATCACACGATGTGGGATCCGCGACCTTCCTCGCCGCTTCCTGGTCCAGCCCCTCAAGAGCCGTGGCCTCGGTGCACCCACTGCACGGGGCACGCGGAGTTTCCGATCTGCTTTGCGCCAGGCATCCTCCTGACAGGCGCAAGTCAGCGGCCCGCAGGGACCCCCCCAACAAAGACTCCCTTTCCCTTTCTTCGACTTCAGTGCACTGCCATGTGCCTTCAGGATCTGTTCTGCAACGAAGGGCATCCGCTCCTCCACAGCCCTCCGCAGAAGGACCTCAGCGCGCTTGCAAAGGCAGCGCAAACTCCGACAGAGCCCAGCCCAAGATTCAAGAAACTTTGGGCCGCAGCTTCGCTCTTCTTGGCTCCCTGACCCACGGACGGAGCGCCAGCGCAGCTTCGCGCCCGCGCACGGCCGGCATGCCCCCGGCATGCCCCCGGCACCCCCCCTGTGCCTCGGCGCTGGAGAAGAGCCTCGAGGCGAGCAAGTGCTCACCAGCCTCCGCAAAACGGGGCGGGGCCCGGCCCAAAAAAAACCCACGCGCAGCGGAAGCGCGCGGCAGAGGAAAAAGGCGATTACGCGAGCGGAGCGGTCTCTTGCATCTCGGCGCGGCGTGCGGCTTCGTGCTCAGCCTGCTCCGCGGCCCTGGCCGCCGCCAGGGTTGCCCGGACGCCTGCGTGCGCCCCAGCCCCCGCCGAACTCCGTTCCGCGCCGTGGCTCTCTAAAAAGAGGCGCGCAACAGCCCTGCACATCCAACACTTATATGTGTCGATGTATGTCATCGTCATCTCTGCGGTTAACCTGCCGAAAGGAGCTTCTCCACCACGGCGTGCCTGGCGGAGGAGAGCCGGACATGCAGCTCACGTGGAGGGACGAGAGTCAGGGCGGCTTCCCCAACTTCGCGGCCGCCAAGAGCGCCTGGGCCGCCTCGGGCCGGCGCCTCGGCTCGGTGTCACAGCGACTGTCTTAAAGCGACTGTCTATAGCGCAGTGGCATCGCTGGCTGCTCGCTGCGGGCCCCCGGGCAGCGTCTCTGGCCCGAGCTCCCGCGCGCCCAAACAGAGCTTCTGGCAGGAGAGCGGCGTTTTGGCTGCCAGCTTCGCTCTTCTCCCAAACTTAAGCCGCCTCCACGTCCTCGGCCTCGACGCCTCCCATGGCCCAGCCCAGGCTCTATTTATTGGGCGCACTCTCAAACCTTCCTATTGTTGGTGCTTTAAATTTGGCCTGCATCCACGGCCTGGGCCAGGACCCGGCCACAAGCCTCGGACTAGAGTCTAGAGGCGAACCGACCGCACGCCTCTCTGAGTCTCTCCCGCATCGGTCGCCTCGCCTCCTGGAGCGCATCGGCAGCTGCAGCAGGCACGAGCCGAAGCACCTGCTCCAGGCTGCGAAAAGGAACAGCACCAAGCCTGTACAGGCAGTCTCTTCAGACCGGTTCTACTGTACATACGCTCCTTAGCTGCAATTCCTCGAAGTCCGGGTCGGGGGCGCGCGGTTCAACATTTGTTCGAGCATGTTTGCGAGTCTCCTGAGACGTCCGCTGCAAAGCAGAGAAGGACGTCGAGGACCAGAGAACCAGTCAGATCACCTGCCTCTCGATGTTTTTGAGAAACTATGTCGACCACAATTGGACTTATATAGTTCAGCAGATCATCTTCACTTCACAAGGAGGTCGTTGACAAGTCGCCAGCGAGACACATTCCTTCGTGATGCCTCCTCAGATCTGCGACCCCGAGTAGATGGAGGTTCTCCGACATGGTCGCGATGAGCATCTTTGTCTACGTCACAAATTAAGTAGAACACGAACAAGACCGCTCGGGATGTCTTATCACAGCGGGTGGATGGTATCCGTCTGAGATTGCTACGTAGAATGAAGAGCCTGCGTATTGAGCAGGTCTCGTCCTGGCCTCGACCTGCGCCGCCCCGACCTGTCGACCGCCCGAGGGCCCTGGCAGCTGCACAGCCGAGCGGGGGCACGGCAGCGCCTCGAGCTCTCTTTCGCGGCTAGGCGGCTACCTAGCAGCTGTGCGACTCAATTCCGCGCCTCCACGAACTCTGCGCATTTCTCCTGGGCGAAGAGGTTGCTTGCAGGTCTCCGGTAGAGCCTCGTTACAGGAATGCAGCCCTTGCGCGCGGGCAGCAAGGAAGGTGAAGGGGGCCGGGGCCCCGGCTTCATCCGCAAAGCCCAGGGCTCCTGCGGTTCGGGAACACCAAGGTCCACCTGGGGCGCGATGTGCCATATGTGCCATATTCACACGTCGGGTCGGGATGGGGGCGCGGTTTGCGCACCTCGGCTGCCGCTTGGTGTCCTGAGACCTCCAACCTCGGCGGAAGGGCCAAAAACGGAGCAGCAGTGGCGACCGTGGCGACAGTGGCGACCGGTCCTTTTTTGGCCCCCTGGCCTGGCTTCTTTCAGCCGCGATTTATCTGGACGGCCATCGGAGCCGAACAAGGCTCTTGCAGGTCCCACCTGAGCGGAAGCGCAAAGGGCGTCCGCTAACGCGTCCGTGGCAGTGCACTCCTACTGACACTATACTGACATGTAATACATGGCTTGATTCATTGACTCTTTTGTCGATCCAAGGGGCGTAAGCCTTGCAGCGCAGCTCGTCGTGCACGGCCTGCTCCAGTGCCAGCATGCAAGCGTGCCATCGCGCGCTGGGCCCAGGGTGTTAGGGCCCTTCCTCTGAGATGCTGGCATTAAAATGGCCCTGGCCGCCAGGATGCGGCGGCAAGACGATGTCCCGCAACTCGATCCTCAAGCGCTCCTCATGCCAACAGCATTTCAAGGGCGACCAAAAGCGCTCGTGCTTCACTTTTTGCTTCTCTCCTCCACACCAGGTGCGACAACTGCATGGCTGAGGTGCGCAAGACGGAGCAGCCCTCACACGCCCAAGACGAATAGAGACTGCCCGGTAAGGTCTTCAACAACAATTTTGGTGCGGCCTCTGTCTGGGACTTCCCAGGCCGTTTGGGGCCGACCAGACGTATCCGAAGGGGCGAGCTTAACCTCAACACAAGTTCCTCATCGCTGCTCTGCGCATGGCATAGGTGCCGCCGCTCGTGCCTCAGCCGCGACCCCCCCGGCAGCCGTCATCCGTCATGGGGCACTTGGCGAGTGGGAAGTGACTTTGCTGTGCTCAGGGTGTCCCTGGTGTGCTGCTGCTACAACGAGCGATGCCTCATCAGGTCATCAGGTCTCAGATGGCGAGCAGGCTGCAGTGACGGCGGAGAGGCAGAGTAATGCAGAGCGGCTTCATGCAGTGGGCTGCGCATTCCCCCTTCCCCCCTCCCCCCTCCCCTTTTTCCTGAGAAGCTCTTCCCGTGCTCAGGCAGGCCTCCAGGATCGCGGACGCAAGAGAGACCAAGAGTGCCGTAGTATAGATACCTCGATACCAAATATAGAGATCATCAGATCCCATTTCATGCAGCGGAGGACCCTGGCCCTGATGACGCGAGCTCCAAAGCAGGGGAACAGCCCCCCCCCTCAAGCTCCAGCATCTCCAGCGACCAGTGCCGAGTGGAGACCCGGGTCCGGGGAAAAGCCCCGAGAAAAAAAGGGCGGCGCAGAGCCGCAGGGCCGCTCACTTCTTGGCCGCGAGCCGCGCCTCGGCCTCTTGCAGCGCTTTCTGGAAGCTCTTCTCCTGCTCCGCGATCTTCGCCTCCAGCTTCGACACGTCCGCCGCCTCAGGCGCGAGCAGCGAGCAGCGAGCAGCGATGGCTGAAAGCGCTGGGAGGCACTGCGAACACTGCGATCGCCGTAAGGGCAGCTCTGCGCGTGCATATAACTTATAGGCTTAACCAGCTCTGCGCTTTAAGCACGCGGCTTAAAGGCTTAAATAACTGATAGCCTTGGGCTCGGGCGGAGCGGGCTTTGTAGCCCTCGAACTGCTCGGCGCTGGCCTTCTTGTAAGACTCGAAGGCCACGTTGGAGGCCTGCTGGGCGCCCTGCTGGGCCTCCAGCGTCTTTAGCAGACTTCCCGCTTCCGACTTGGAGGCCGCCAGCTCTTTTTTTAGAGCCTCGATATCTGCCTGAGCCTGTTTCTGCAAGGCCTCCAATTTGCTTTCCATCTTTTGGAGCTCCGCCAACTGTTTGGCCATGCTTTCTTGCACGCTTTTCGCATGCTCCTTTCCTTGCTCCTCGAGCCGGTTCTGAAGCTGTGTGTTCAGCTGTGCCTGCTCCTTGTGCTGTCCCATCTGTTGCTCCTTGTGCTCCCCCAAAGCCTTCTCCAAGCCTTCCTTGGTCAAGAGCATCGACTGCTCCAGGACTCCTTTTGCCTCTTCGGTCCCCTTCTGGCACACCTCCCTGGAAGCCTCCAGCTGCTTGGAGGCCTCTTCGCGGTGCTCTGACAAGGCTTTCATCTGCGCCTCCAATTGCTTCTCCGTGGAGATCTTGTGGGCCGTCAAGGCCTGCACAGACAAACCGCCAAACGTGAGCCTTGCCGGACCCTGAGCCGCGCACCTCGCTGGTGCTGGCCATCACGGCTGAGGCCTCCTTCTTGTACTCTTCCAGTCCCAAGGCAGACTCTTGACGCTGCGCCTTCGAGGATCAGGATTTCTCCGCAAAGCAATATACTCAGGGCATACTACTGTACTACTGCTTCCAACTTGTACCGGGCAGTAAGGTAAGCTCGGGGTTGACAGTAACTACTGTATACTGCAACATACAGTAATACATGTCAGACGTCCGAAGCCAGACCAGCCGCATCTCGCGCTGCGCCAGTCTTCCGAGAGCGAACTCGTACAGAGAAGGACGACTTCCATGGAATATAATGCTACTCGACGCTACTCGTACTCCGTCGGGAAAGTGCGTGTCTTGCTGTCTTCTGCATTGCATGCTCACAAGTGCCCAAGTGTGGCTTCGTCCCTTTGCCCGGGCTCTGCAACTTTGTTCCGCGAGGCTCTTCCCCCATTGTATGTGCAGCCCTGGGGCAATTAAGAGACGGAGGGATTAGATGTTACTCAAGGAGCCGCCCGAGTACGTACCTTGTGCCTTGGGGCTCACCTTGTGTCGTGGCCGCTCCGAACGCTGCCACAAATTAGAAACTTCACTCTCCTGGAGTGAGCGGGTTTGCTTTGCTGCTGATGATGCTCTTCGGTGTCGTTAGCGCTCTCCTAAGTGGAGACCTCGAGCCTTTCAGCACCCAGTTGCGCCCGCCCTTCCCCTCCCATGAGATGCCCGCAGGCACTCGCTCCAAAAGCCAGCCCTAAACAACGAAGGGGGCGCCCCCCGCAAATATAAAAAATATTGAGTGGGCTTTGATGTAGCTATTGCCATGCGGCCTCGAGCTTTTTTTTCAGCTCCTCCCTTTCTGTGACGAAGGTGTCGTCCATCTGCTGCTTGGTGCTCAGGAGCGCCGTGGCAGACTCGGCCAGGCCCTTGGCCAGCTCCTCTCGCAGCGAGCCCTGCGCCTTCTCCGCCGACGCCGAATGACTGACAAAGGAACCCGCCACCTGAGACGAGAGATTTGCGAGAAAGCGTCAAAGATGTTTCTGAAAGCTGCCTCCTCCTTGTGGGCGTCCAAGGACTTGGTGATCAGCCAGAGGGCCTCCAGCTTTCAGGAAGTTTTCAACGGCTCCTGTCTCGACAAGCCTCGATCGATTCCGCCTTGGAGGCGTTGCCCTTGTAATCGTTCAGGGCCTTCGAAAGAACGCAGAGGCCAGGCTGCCAAAAAAAAGGGCTCACGGTGCTCCACGTTTACAGAGTCCGAGCCTCTGTTGCTTTGGCATTTGCAGCCGCCTGTGCTGCCTGGCCTTCTTCCACCTTCTTTTCCAACGCACTCAAAGAGCTTTGCAAGGCCATGACTTCCTGGCACGATCAAGCCCGGACTAAGCTCGAACGACTTTCACATTACGCGATTGCGCCCACCGCCCTGCACCTCGGCGGATTTGGTCGCCTGTGCTGTTTGGCCTTCCTCCAGCTTCTTCTCAGAGGCAGCCAGCGCACTTCGCAAGGCCGCGATCTCCTCGCAGATCCATCCAAGCGCTTCTGAGCCGCTACTGAGCTACTGCTGCCCCCCGTGAGATGTAACCTGGGCGTGTATCCCCTCGCAAGGCGTACAGGAACACAGCCAAACACAGGTGTTTCTTTTACTACAGGCGCAAAGCTGTAGCTCAGTACTCTGCTAGAACCTTGAGCAACAGGCGTGGATACATGCACGTGATACGTGAAACAGACAACCACCTGGATTTGTAACATTCAGTGTTTCAACCAGGCACAAAGACTCCGGTCACCTTCACAAGAGTGAAGCACACCGGGTATTCAGGATGGAGCGTGCCTACGGTACCTCCACCTGTGTGAAG